TTGGTTGGAAATGTTTTTCTTTCAGCACTTTAAATATATTGTGCCACTCCCTTCTGGCTGATGAAGTTGTAGCTAAAAACCTTCTGATAGTTCTATGGGGGTTCCCTTGTATATAGCAAGATGTTTTCCTCTTGCTGCTTTTAAGATTTTCTCCTCTTTAATTTTGATATTTTAAATAATGTGTCTTGGTGCAGGTTTCTTTGATTTCATCTTTTTTTTGGAATCCTGGATCTTAATGTCTGTTTCCTTATCCAGGTTAGAAAATTTTTCAGCATTTAGTTCTTCAAATACGTTTCCCACTTCCTTCTCTCTCTTCTTCTTGGACCCCCTATAATGTGAATATTAGTCCCCTTGATGTTGTTCCATAGGTCCTATAAGCTAGCTTCACCTTTTTTTTTCACTTTTTCTTTTTGCTATTCTATTTGGGTGAGTTCCTCTGCCATCTTTGAGTTCATGGGTCCTTTCTTCTGCTTCGTCTAGTCTATTGTTGACTCCCTCTAGTTGTATTTTTTAGTTCAGTTATTGTATTTTCAGTTCTGTGACTTCTTTTTGGAACTTTCTTATATTTTCTATCTTTTTGCTGAAGTTCTTTCTCACTGTGTTCATATATTCTTTTCTTGAGTTCAGTGAACGTCTTTATGACCATTACTTTGAACTCCTTGTAAGGTAAATTACTTATTTCCATTTCACTAAAGTTGTTTTATGAGGTTTTATCTAATCCTCTCTTTTGGAACATATTTTTCTGTTTATTCATTTTGTTTGACTGTGTTGGTTTCTATGCATTAGATGAAACAGTCACCTCTTGTAGTCCTGAAGGATTGGCCTTGTATAGAAGATGAAACATTGTTTGACCCTGCCCTAGCTCTTGGTTGTCTCTCAAACCTTTGTGATTTTCAAAGCAACCTGTTTTAATTTTAATAGCGCCTAGTAGTTGAGGGGGTGCCAAGAGAGTCAGTGTCCCAAAGGAGAGCATGTCAGTCAGCACCCAGATTCAGGCTTACTGGAAGTTATACTGTTGGGCAGCAGCTTTTAAAGAATGTTCATATATGCAGTCCTGGGGGACCACAAGCATATAAGCCCCACGGGGCCCCTGAACCAGGTAATCTGAAGGTGCTCTCCGGTAAGCAGTTACAAAAATCGGGGCTCCAAACAAGTGTACAAGCTCCTTTCTGGGAGAGACTAATGAGTTGTAGTGAGGGAGTAGGGAATTATAAAGATGGTGTCCCATGACCTATGTGCCCTGAGAACACCTCCAAAGCCTCTAGATGTGTGCCCAACCTGAAGCCTGCCCCTATAGCCAAAGCTCCAGGACTAGCAACTAGTCTTCTTTCATAGAAAGACTGGGTGTCTGGTTCAGTCTGCTATCTGTCCTGTGTCCCGGAGGTGGGAGTCTGCCAAGAACTGTCTTTCTGGTTGTTACAGTCTTATGGGACCCAGAAATGCAAATCCCCTGCCCACCAGAGCTAGACAATCCAGGGATATCCCCTGAGCAGCAGTCAGAAAAACCAGGGCATGAGTAATAAGAATTGGGTTGCCAGACATGTTTAAGAGCTTCCCTCTAAGAGACGCTAGAGCTCTGGAGCACAGCACAGGGAGAGTGCAAAGTTGGTGCTCACATCTCTGAGGTCTCTGGAAATGTTTATACTCATCCCTTAGAGGTGTGTTTAATTTCAAGTTTGCCCTTTATGCTGCAGCAGTGATAAGCTAATAGGCCTCTTTTACAGAAAGATTGAGCTCCCGGGTCTGTGGCCTCTTGCTGTGCCCTGGGAGTGGTAGCTATTTAAGAACTCTTGGTTGGTTCCAGTCCTGTGGGACACGAAGCAAGTATAAGCTCCACTGTGCACCAGAGCCAGGTAATGCAGAAATGTCCCCTGGCAGCAGCCACAAAAATCAAGGCTCTAGACAGGGTATAAACCTCCTTTTAGAAGATACCTGCAAGCTGGAATGAGGCAGGGGGAGAGGGCAAAGGTTGTGTTCCCCGGGCCTCTGTTTCCTGAGGGCACCTCCATAGGCTACTGTAAGTATGTAAACCTGAAGCCTGCCCCTCAGGTCACAGCTCTTGGACGAGCAAATCGGCCTCTTGCTAAGAAAGATGGGGAGTGTGTTTCTATCTGCTATTTGTGCAGTGTGCTGGGAATGACAGTGTGCCAAGAACTATCTCTCCAATTGCTGCAGCCCTATGAGACCCAAGAATGCAAGACCCCCAGGCCACCAGGACCAGGCCATGAATGGGCATCCTCTGGATGGTAGCCACAACAGCTGGGGTCCCAAATATAAAACTGGAGCGCCAGATGCGTGTGGAAGCTCCCCTCTGGGAGATACTGGGGCTCTGTAAGTGCAGCAGAGGGAGAGTATAAAGATGGTGCTCACTGGCTGGAGCAAAGCATAGGGGGAGTGCAAAGACAGCGCGTGCTAAAGAAAAGGAAAGAAAAAGACAAAAGGAAAAAACTAAAAGAGGAAAGAAGAAGAAGATAAATGAAAAAAAGTGAAAGAAAGAAGGGTAAAAGTGATGGTGCTTGCCAGCTTTAGCAAGGCAGGGGGAGAGCATGCAAAATGGCACCCACTGGCTGGAAGCATAAAGATGGCACACGTGGGAAAGAGAAAAACCAATGGTGGCTACAGGCCTTAGCAAAGCAGAAGGAGAGGAAGAAGGTGGAATCCACCAGCTTCCAACCTTGGACAATATCTCAGCAGGCCCCTCCTCCGAGACCAATGCTTTAAAATTGGGAAATGTAGTCTCACTCACATATAGTCTGGATGCTTTTCAAAGAGCCATTTCTGCTTTGGGCCCTGGGGTGAGTGAGTCTGTGCAATGGCCCTTTAAGAGCAGTTTCTCAGTTCACCATGGCCAACCAGATCTGGTGGTGATGAGTCCTATTGGTGTTCAAAGCCAGATGTCTTGAGGATCATCTCTCAGATGCCAGCCTTAGAAGTTGGGATGAGGGCATCTGGGTGAATGTCTGCCTCTTGATTTCTGCTCAGGTCATGATCTCATGAACCATGAGATCGAGCCTCAAATCGGTTCTGTGCTGAGCATGGAGCCTGCTTGGAATTCTCTCTCTCTCTCCTGCTCTCTCTGCTCCTCCCCTACTCAGGGCTGATGTGTGGTACAAACCTGTCAATCCTCCAGGAGAAGCTCTGGGTTGAATTCCCTCCTGACTGGGTCACTGTACCAGAGATGGGGCTTATGGTCCTCCACTTCCATGTGGTTTCCCTCTCCTTTGCCCCCATGCAAAGGGGTTGCTCTACAAGTTTTTAGATTTCTTTTCAGAGGAAATTGTTCCACACATAGCTGTGGATTCCTTGTGTCTGTGGGAGGTGGTGAGTTCAGGATCTTCCCATTTTGCCATCTTCAACAAGAAACTCACTTTATACTTTTAAATATACTTTAAAATGATATTTTCTGCTTGTAGACACTTGTAGTTCACGTTGTCAACAGTTGGGCATTGAATCTCAGAAAACATTAAGCTTGAGATTAAAAATTGGGGCTAGGAGAGCTGTTAGTAAAACATGCTAACCTAACATATCTGAACAGGACAGGGTCAAGTTCATACTCAAAACCACAAGGGTGCTGTGAAGTCCAACGATTGCATACTTGTGTTGTGAGGTCATTTTTGTTGTAACATTAAAGCCAAAAGCCCTACTCCCACCCCCCACCAAGGGCAATGCCAATTTCCCAGAAGGCCCATTTCTCAGAGCCAAAGCTCCAGAAGATGCCAAAGCAACCCATGCTGATACTAAGTCTCATGTTATTTCTCAATTTTATGCTTAATTTGCTCCTTTTGGTTTTATGTATTTTGACACAGCCAAGTGTATGTGGGGATTTCCCCATAGTCCTTTAAATGCTATAAAACTTTAATATAGGGAGATAAAAACAATAATAAGCCATGCCTCTAAGCCCTCACATTTAGTTCTTCATTTGAGTTAGACACTAACCAGTTTTAGGTACTGGTGTAGATTTCAAGTACTTGCACTGCTTTAAACGCCCTGTGCCTTTCCTTACCCTATTCTCTCCATCCAAATGAAAATGATGTTCTGCCCATAAGCTGGGCATGCAACACCCATGGATTGCACAAAATGGCATCTTTATGATTTTTTTAATGTGTATTTATTTTAGGGAGAAATAGAGAGAGCATGAGCAGGGGAGGGGTAGAGAGAGGGAAAAAGAGAATCCCAAGCAGGATCTACACTGTCAGCCCAGAGCCCAATGTAGAGCTCAGACTCATGAACTGTGCGATCATGACGTGAGCCGAAATCCAAAGTCAGATGTTTAACCAACTGAGCTGCCCAGGAGCCTCCTCACCTTTACAATTCTTAAGTTATTATCATAATGGTCTGTATTGTACATGAGTCAATGCAATTTTTAAAAAAAATGTTAGTGTTTATTTTTGAGAAAAAGAGAAAGAGAGTGATTGGGAGAGAGAGGGAGACACAGAATCCCAAGCAGGCTCCAGGTTCTGCACGGTCAGCGCAGAGCCCAGTGCCGGACTCGAACTCATGAGCTGTGAGATCATGACCTGGGCTGAAGTCAGACGCTTAACTGGCTGAGCCACCCAGGCTCCCAGAGCCAATGCAATTTAATATGGTTTTAATATGGTTCAGAATAAAGCCAAGATGGATGCCCAGTTCCCAACTTGAGGCATGCAACCCTGAAATGTCTTTTTGGAAAAAATGAAATCATGGTCCTGGAAATCTGTGGAGTTAGGCTGTTTTCAGCATAATTGCCTTCTCTCGGCTTCCTAATACCCTTAAAACCTCTGAGAGGCTTCAAATGTACAAAGTTCAACAAAAATACCTTCAAAGTAGATTAGTTCTAACTATGTCTAATATTTGTTTGCTGCTTTATTAAATAAACTACATTTGTTTAAAAAAGAAAAGAAATTCACTTAACTGCATGTCAGTCACCCAAATTTTAAGTGTACAAATGAAATGGAAAACATTTATTACACAAATTTAATTACAATTCTAAGAAATAAACATGCAAATTAGATAGAGTTCAATTTGCAGATGCTAATCCCCGTCCTTGATCTTACTCCTTTCCTCCCTGATTTTCAGTCTGTGCCTCTCCTTGATTCCTAGGGAGCCAGGCAGCAAGAGGTTTGGTTTTTCACAGTCGGAGGATCACTGTTTTAAAGAAGTGTTATATTTAGCACATCTGGCATAGTAGCAGTAAACAAACATTATAGTCTTTGTAACACTTTTGTGCAGGTGCCTTACCCCGGATTTTATTAGGTCTATGCCTTCCAAGCCTGTGTTCATTACACCTGAAATGACCCATCTCGGCTATGGAGGAGTCCCTAGACAGAAGTTATGAATTAATGTTTCAAAAAACAAACTCCAATTGAGCCTAATATAGGGGAAAATTGCTATTTGCAAAATAATGTGATTCCAGGGCTTAAATTACATTCCCTTGACCAAGGACAACGTCCTTTATTGCTTTTTTATTTCCTGGAGGTATTCCCTTGGGGCTCCCCACCCAGAAAGAGTTGCCAATTCAGGTTGCAGTAGGACCAATGTTGCTTTTTTATACATAATGCAGCTCCAGAGGGGAACGGGCGGGGGCGGCGGCGAGGGGAGAATAACGGCTTCGTCCTGCAAAGACATCTGTTTCTCATCTCCGTTTGCTGTGGCAAAGGAGAAGAAAGTCTTTTCAAAGGGTGGGAAAGGCACAGATTTTTTTTTAAATCACACGCACACACAACAACAACAGAACCAAATCAAAGAGAGAGAGAGAGAGAGAGACATCTCAGAAGGTTGCAGAGTGAATACGTTATCCCGCTGGAGCCGAGCCCCCCAGGGCTAGGGCGGGAGCCGGGGAGCGCGTGGGGTCTGGGCTGCGGGCTGGAGCTGGGCCCGCGTGTCCCCGGGCACCGGGAGGGGAGGGGAGGGGAGAGAGGGGAGGAGAGGGAGGAGGGAGGGCGGGAAGGAGGCAGGGGGCGGGCTGGGGTGGGGGTGAGGGGAAGGCGCCCCGTGTGCTGCCTGAGGAGCGGCGGCGGCGGCGGGAGCAGAGGGAGGGCGCGAGAGCGGGCGCGCTTGTCATGTTCCCTCTCTCACCCTGGGGGCATCCTGCAGAACCTCTCCTCGGAAATCCACGGGGAAATGGCAAACAGGATTGACGGGTTTCACACGCTCCTCGCTAGACAGAGCCGCTCATTACCATAACCGTCTGCAGCAACGGCGGCGCGGCGCCCCAGTCGCGGCGGCGGGACCTGCCGGGACCCTCGCCCGCCGCGCACCAGCGTCCACCGCCGACCGGGCCGCCGGGCCGGGCCCCGCGCGACTGTGCACCGGCGGCCGGGCTGGCGCCGAGCCCAGAGCGGACCAGCGGCAGCGCGAGCGCTCCGGCCGCCGCCTCCCGGTTGACCCCGCGGTAAGAGCCGGGCCGGGCGCGGGCGGCGGGGGCGGCGAGGCCGGGGCGGGTGGAGGGCGAGGGCCGGTCCCCGCGGGCGTCTGCGCGCGCCGACTGTGGCACCCGCGCGCCCTCCGGGCACCAGGGCCGCGCCGGGGGCGCCGAGTGGACGCGCACCGGCCGGAGCAGGTCCTGGGCGGCGCGGGGGCCAGGACGCAGCCGGGCGCCGAGGTGGCGCGGGCTTTTCCCGGGGCTGGCTTGCGCCGCGGGGCCTCTACCCGGGCGGGAACCGCTGCCGCCCGCGCGCACCCAGCCGACGCCGGGGGCGGATGGGGATGGCAGCCCTGGCGAGCCCCCAGGGCCCTAGGCGGCCACTCCCTCCCTTACCCTAGGGGGCGGGGGGTCAGTAGGAGGGATGCCCCCGCGTCTGGTCGCCGCGACGCTGGGCAGGTGGAGAGGGAGGGGTTGTGGATGTCAGGAGCGCGCGTCTTCGAGAAAAGGGAATAGCTGCAGGAGCTGACACCTTCTGTCCTCCGCCACCTCCGCCCCCGCACTCTCCTCCCCGGCAGCCGAGCCTCGCTGCGGGCGGCGGCGGCTCCTCTGTCCTCAGCTCACCTCCCCGGCGGACTCGGCTGCGGCCCGCCTGGTCCACGCCTCCGCCTCTCTCTCCTCCCTTCCTCCCCTCCCGCCTCCTGGGCCGTAGCAACTTTCCGGAGTGCCCGGCTGGGGCCGTGGAGGCAGGGGGGCGGGGGGGGGGTGGAGACCCGGGGTGGCGCGGACAGAGTGGACGCCTGCGGGAGGTGCGGGCGCAGACCCCGCCGCCCGGGTCGCACGGCCGCTCCGGGCGCTCGAGCAGCCGCGGGCTCCGCGCGGGCTTGGCTGGCGAGGGAGGGAGGGCCGGGCAGGCATCTGCTGCGGGCTGGAGCGGGGGGACCGGGCCAGCCTCGCCAGAGCCCTGCCAGCCGCTGTGAGTCATTTCCTTGGAATCCTACCTTTGGTGTTTATTTCCCTTAGAAGGAAACTTGTTTAAAAAAAAGAAGAAAGGAAGAACGAAAGGAAAGAAAGAAAAGAGTAATAATAGCTCTTATTCTTCAGGAGAGGCGCACGGCTCGCGCACCGTGGAAAGACAACTTGCCTTTGTTCCCAGACACTTGGGGTGTTGTTTACCTACTCCTGCGGCCACCGGCCGGCTGGGCTCTGCTCCCTACCCGGGAAGGGGCTCAGGGACGGAGACACCGACCCCTAGGGGTGTGTCTGTGCCAGAGTCTTGGACGTGGTGCCTGCAGGGGTTCGGTTCTCCAAACGTCGCGACCCCAGTCTTGAGCCTGGGGTGGGGAGACCTGGCGCCAGGGCTCGGACACCCGGACACCTCATCTTCGCCCTCAAGCCCAGCCCTAGGACTTGACCTAAAGCTCCTAGCCTATGGAAGCTGCGGCTGAGAAATGCACTTTCAGGGCAGACAGGTGTATTGCAGGGGCTGGTAGAAAAGCGACGTCTATTTAGAAAGATTGAAGGATTTTATTCCACCCATTCAGCCCCTTCCATCTCCAGCACCACCAACACCAACACCAGCAGCAGCAGCAGCAGCTGCACAAGCTGTTGGGATCTTGTTAAGGGCGACGAAGAGGTGGGGTTGGTGGCGGGTGGGGGCGGGTCTTGGTCCACTTGGGCAACACATTTAAGACTGGCAGTATCAAAGGTGCATTGAAAATACCATCCCTTTACTTCTCTGCGTTTCAGTATTGGAATCAGATCTCCAACTGTTACAACGCTCTTAATATTCTCTAATTTCCAATGATGGGGGGTGGGGCGGCAAAGAATGACCGGGAGCTGTTGGATTCAAGGTGCCACAGAACCTGTAGCCACTCTGTTCTGTGTGCCCGCCTGCCACTCCTGTTAGCTTTATAATGGCTCTGAGGAAAGAACAAGCCTACCTCATCTGGAAAAACCAAATTGTATAGCAATGCCTGGTAACTTTACTCTGAATATTTGCTGAAAAGCATGACATTTTAGCCCTTAGCCTTCTGGGAATGCTTGAGGTGTCATTCGGCTACATCCAGTTGGGTGACAACACAGACATGCAGGAGCCTGGGAATAAGAAGTTAGGACCTTTTTATTTTTTTATTTTTGAAACCCATGTATAGACAAAACACACTTTAACAACCTTCTTTTGAATCCACTCACCTCTGACGTTATGAAAACAAATCTTACCATAAATGTACATCTTTGTGGTTATATCTAATAATAACAGCACATGAATTTGCAGATTTAAACTTCTGAACTCAGTAGCAGAATTATAAATCTCATCATACAGGGAATAACGACAGTTTGGATCTGCCCATATAATACAGATAGTCATGTGAACTATTGATGCTTAGCACCTCACACTCCGAATTCTTCATGAACGTTGAACTGACCTTCTTAATTTGTTAACATCCCAGTGTAAATTCTAAATAGACTTCCTAGGAAGACTTGATTGCAAAGTCTCCTCCCTGATCCCAAATAATCTGAAGTCATTCATCTTTTATTCAGACTTACATAAATCACTTGTGGAACTTGGCTTCTCCAGCATAGGATTTTGTGTGTACAAGTTTCCAGCTCAAAAAAGAAAAACTTAACAGAAATTAGATCTCACGAAGGAAAGAGAGTGCCAAGATAAAGCAACTATGCCGTGTTTCAAGTTCAAATGTATACTGATAGAATTTCATGTGTTGGAATCAATACTAACAAATAGGAACACTTAAATCCTTAACAACCAAAAATGCTTCAACAATAAGTCATTAAAATATAAACAAACTCTTAGAAACGTAAAATAGCACAGGGCCCATATAATGTCCTGTTAAACAAAGGTAATTGCTTCTAGGGGCCTACAAATGCCTTCTTAAGAGGAGTGGATTTGTCAGCCTCCTCTGGTTTTATGTAATAAAAGTACAACAGACAAAAAGCTTGATTCTTATTCCCAGAATCCAGCCTGAAAGTGAGTGTCAGTTTCAAGCTGGAAACCACCGTTGCAGTCAGTGAGAGAGGGCCACTGACTGATAAAAACCTATATAATTCGTGTGCTCCTCGCAATAGCACTTACTGATAAAACTGTCTTTTATCATAGGTTAAGAAATCAGACCATTTATGAGAGTCTCCCAGGGAATCAATTACTATGAGGCTTGATACCTTGACTGGATGCTGAGTTTGAGGGGTGAGAGACCAGCCTCATTTGTTAAATCAGTGCAGCCCTAAATTTTTTGATGACTCAAGCAAGAAAAATGGCATGTCCCACCATCTCCTTTTAGAAAATTAATCAAACACCTCTTTTTTTTCCTTCTAATAATGTTTTCTAATAAGTCCTTGATGCTGCCTCTTTGCAGGGCGGTTTAAAAGAGAAGGGGTAGATCATTTAGCAGCTCAAATCATCTGGGTCCTCCTTCCAGCCACTAATGCGGACACTTCCCCTGTCTGTCAGAAGGCCTTGGTTCATTCTTCAGTGAGGTTGTAACAGAATTTAGGATCTCTAAGAGAAGCCTGGATAAAGGATGGAGTCCTGGCTGCCAAGAGCCTCTCTGTTAGCCAGAGGACATTGTCTCTTCAGTGAAGCTATTTCCCCTTCCCTGGTGTTTTTCCTTTTTTTACCTGGAAGTGGACCCTTGATATAACATGTGGGTAATCATAGTCTCCTGCTAGACAGCAGGAGATTCACCCTTTCCCCAAAACATTACAAGCTGTATAATTTGGAGAAGGAAAGCATGAACTAGACCTTTGGCATATGTTTGAAAGACAATCAGTCTTCAGAAAGCAGACCTGACATCATTCCTTGTGACAGTTCTTTAAATGGCAAAGCGGGATGGAAGAGGTTCAGGTCTTGTAAAGGAACTGGCTGTTAATAAAGGTGCTGAGGCCTCTCTGCCTTCACCACCGAGCTCTGGCCCATAGGTCTTTTTGCTTTGCCTTTGAACTCACTCTTGACCCTTCCTTGAGCCTTACCAGGATCAACCAAAGACACTGAGCCCCCCCCGGAAAAGGCCTGGTCCACCTGAGTTAAGCAGGGACCAACCGGGCATCACAGAGGAGAGAGGCTCCCATTCTCCCCGCAGGCCTTAGGCAGGGGCTTGAACTGGAGAAGAGGGCAGCGGTGTGGTGCCTCCTGGAAAGTTCCTGCCTTGTGTCTGGGCCTCACCGGGTAAAGAGTTGCCGGCTGCCTCTGGCCCCGAAGCCCTGGCTCCTGTTTAATATTCTGCCTGCTCCGTTGATGTTGTGCTTGGCTCCTGTGGGGCTGCAACTCCCGGCTTGAAACTGGAGCCAATTTTCTGTCTTCATCTCACAGTGTTTTGACTGGAGGCAGATCCAGTTCAGGCCGATCAGGGCTGGTGGAAACAACTACCAAGTGTGTCTCTGTCTGCTTCGTTTTGGGAAAGGAAAGTGGAAGGAGCCCCAGAATGTTATAGAGGAGCTGGCCCCGCCAAAAGGAGAGGAGGAGAGGGCCAGCCACATACACGGAAACTGAGCGCATCAGGAGGGATTAATGGTGGAGATCTCTGCCACCCCACCCTTTCCTTTTGATTGATTAGCAGATTTCATCAAAGAGGACTCTCCCGGGACTGACTAGAAAATTGATTTTGCCTTATTAATAGAAAGGAAGCGCAAGGGTTTGGGACTTGCCTCATAGCGGTACATTTTCTGCAGGAAGGTCAAGGGGAAAATGTGTTTAGGAGGCAAAGCAGCTGTCTCAAAGAGGGCTGAGGGGAATCTGAGAACAATAAGAAATGGGATTTTAAAGATCCGCCCATGAAATGCAGATTGCTGAACACAGAGGCTGAGCTAATAGCAGCAAGAGTTTGCTGAGGTTTTCTTTGAAAAAATAATAAAATGTTTCAGGGTGAAGGGGAGGGCCGAGAAGTAAAAGTTTCCCAAAGCAAAGGAATGAAAATGCCAAGGCCATTCCCTGGCTTATTCTTGATTAGGGCTGTTTTCTTTCTTTCTTTCTTTCTATTTTCTTTTCTTTTTTTCTTCTTTTTCTTTCTTTCTTTCTTTCTTTTTTTTTTTTAGATCTGAGGCTGTCAGAGATGACTCTGGTTCTGTCC